TGAAACTTTTGGTCCCCAAACTTCGCAAGAACCCAAACTCAAGAACCACACTTCTGGTTTTAAAAGCAAAAAAGACAGAGAGCTTGGTCTCGAGGTAAGAAAGAATTATGGCCTCGGCAGCAAGATATTTTTGCCAGAAATTTCTGGGTGTCAATGATTATACAGATTGTTTAAAATTTACATCTGGCCATTCTACTTTGCAAAAACCACACTTTTTCCTCTAAAAGCGAAACAGCACAGTTAGCTTGGTTTTGAGAAAAAGATAGAACCATGAGCTTCATGCGACAAACATTTTCGCCAAGGCGCTTGACCCCCTAGACTTCGCAAAAAACCAGTACTTCTGCCCCTAAAAGCAGAACAGCACAGGGAGTTTAGTCTCTAGGGAAGGACAGCCCATGAGCTTCCGACAGGACATTTTCGCTAAGACGTTTGACTCCCAAACTTCGCAAAAACCACAAAACTCAAAAACCACACTACTGGCCCTAAAAGCGCAAAAACCACAAAACTCAAAAACCACACTTCTGGCCCTAAAAGCAAAAAAGCACAAGGAGCTTGGTCTCGAGGGAAGAAAGAATTATGGCCTCAGAGCAAGATATTTTCGCCAGAAGTTTCTGGATGTGGATGTCTTATCATACAGTTGTTTGAAGTTCGTGGCCATTCTACTCTGCAAAACCCATACTTCTACCCTCAAAAGCACAACAGCACAGATAGCTTGGTCTCGAAGGGAAGAGACTCATAAGCTCAGCCAGGAAGATACTTCCGCTGAAAATTTCTGGGTGTCAATGTTTATTCTACAGAAACTTGTTTGAAATTCTCCTGTGGCCATTCTACTCTGCAAAAACCGGACTTCTACTGAAGGTAGAAAAGTGGTCTCGAGGGAAAGACAGACCCATGAGCTTCATCCGATAGGACATTTTCACTGAAACTTTTGGCCCCCAAACTTCGCAAGAACCACAAACTCAAAAACAACATTTCTGGTCCTAAAAGCAAAAAAGACAGGGAGCTTGGTCTCGAGGGAATAAAGAATTATGGCCTCAGGCAGCAAGATATTTTCGCCAGAAGTTTCTGGGTGTCAGTGATTATACAGAACTTGCTTGAAATTTACTTCTGACCCTTCTGGTCTCGGTGGGAAAAGACTCATAAGCTCAGCCAGCAAGATACTTTCGATGAAAATTTCTGGGTGTCAATGTCTATTCATACAGAAACTTGCTTCAAAATTTACTTCTGGCCCTCCTACTTTGCAAAAACCATACTTCTGTCTCTAAAAGTAAAAAAGCAGACGCTAAGATGTTTGACCCCTAGACTTCGCAAAAACCAGTACTTCTGCCCCTAAAAGCAGAAAAGCACAGGGAATTTAATCTCTAGGGAAGGACAGACCCATGAGCTTCTTGCCATAGGACATTTTCACAGAAACTTTCGGCCCCTTCTACTTCGCAAAAACCAGTACTTCTGCCCCTAAAAGCAGAAAAGCACAGGGAATTTAGTCTCTAGGGAAGGACAGACCATGAGTTTCATCCGAAACATTGTCGCTAAGACGTTTAACTCCCAAACTTGGCAAAACCACAAAAATCAAGAACCACACTTCTGGCCCTAAAAGCAGAAAAGCACAGATAGCTTGGTCTCGAGGGGAAGAGACTCATAAGCTCAGCCAGCAAGATACTTTCGCTGAAAATTTCTGGGTGTCAATGTATATTCTACAGAAACTTGTTTGAAATTCACTTCTGGCCATTCTACTCTGCGAAAACCGAACTTCTGCCTCTGAAGGCAGAAAAGTGATCTCGAGGGAAAGACAGACGCATGAACTTCTTGCGACAGGAAATTATCTTCTCTGAAAATTTTGGCCTTTTGAACTTCGCTAAAACCACACTTTTGCCCCTAGAAGCAAAAAAAACAGGGAGCTTGGTCTCGAGGGAAGAAAAGACTCGGGGCTAAGGCAGCAAGATATCTGCACTAAAAAATTTCAGGTGTCAATATTTGATTATAAAGAAACTTGCTAAATAAATTACGCCCCCTTCTTCTAAACCATACATTTGCCCCTAAAAGCGGAAGCATAAGGAGCTTGGTTTCGAGGGATGAAAAGACCTAGGGATTTATGCGACAGGACAGTTTCGGTAAGAAGTCCTTCAAAAGAAGGCGTCGGGCAAGCTTTAGTCTGTTTTAAGAAATGAGTCCGTTCACTGGCAAGACATCATTAAAAAAATACTGCTTATACTGCTTCGTTTTCATTTACATATCTGAGTTTTCGGCTGCTGGAAGACATAACTTGACGTTTCCATTAACATGGCACTTTCCTGGAAATCAATCCGAGTTTTGAGATGAATCAGCTGTTCTAAACAGGTGCTTGGAGGTAGCTTCCTTGTTTAAGAGCCTTGGTATCTGGGCGAAGGTATCTGCAAGAGGAACAGCAGAGACGCTTTGCGGATAGTCACTGGTAGTAGCTTCTTTTCCTAAGGGCATAGTGTTTTGTTCCTACTACTCACTATACGCGAAAGGCCGCTGGGAAGATGGAAATTCTCTTTCTTAGGATTTTTAGTTAATTAACGGCAGATATCAATGTATCTGCTCCCACCCACTTACTAGCGACCCGTAGGGTCGCTAGTCTTATATATAAAGCTGAATGTCTGTTTGTATGTATAGGGCTTATCAAACGCAGAGTCGCTTGCGTCAGCATCTTCACTCCCGCCTTGGGCTCTGCATCTCTTCCGCGCACATGCTCTCTGATCGCTTTCCCAGAGCGAGCTTGGGAAAGGCGGAGTCTCAATCGATTGGATGTAATTAGAGTGCATCTTCGCAGAAGATACGCAGAGTCCAGCGCGGGAGTGGAAATGCTGATGCAAGCGACACTGCGTTTGATAAGCCCTATATGTATGTATGTCTGTCTGTATGTATGTATGTGTGTACGTATGTTCCGAATAGAAAATTCCATTTCTGAACCGATCCGGACCAAACTTGGCACACATACACTACGGGCCCCGGCGGGTGTCATAGGCTACTTTTCGTCATCGATCGATATCGATTTTATCGATTTTTATCGATTTTTTTGCTGAGTTCACCTACGGAGCTGGGAGTTGGCACAGGGGGGTAATCGAGCATGGGGATTCCGAATACAATATTGGTTTTCAGGATTATCGATTACTTTTATCGATTTTATCGATTTTTTTGCAAAGTTTGAGCTACGGGGCTGGGAGTTGGCACAGGGGGGTAATCGAGCATGGGGATTCCGAATACAATATTGGTTTTCAGGATTATCGATTACTTTTATCGATTTTATCGATTTTTTGCAAAGTTTGAGCTACGAGGCTGGGAGTTCGCACAGGGGGGTAATCGAGCATGGGGATTCCGAATACAATATTGGTTTTCGGGATTATCGATTACTTTTATCGATTTTATCGATTTTTTGCAAAGTTGGAGCTAGGGGGCTGGGAGTTGGCACAGGGGGGTATTCGAGCATGCTGATCATCCCCAAGGGGGGTGATCAGCATGCTCGATTACACCCCTGTGCCAAATTCCAGCCCCCTAGCTCAAATTTTCAAAAAATCGATAAAATCGATAAAAGTAATGGACGATCTTGAAAACTAATATTGTATTCGTAATCTGCATGCTCGATTACCCCCTGTGCAAACTCCCAGCTCCGCAGGTCAAACTTTACAAAAAAATCGATAAAATCGATAAAAGTAATGGACGATCCTGAAAACTAATATTGTGTTCGTAATCAGCATGCTCGATTACCCCCCTGTGCAAAATCTCAGCCTCGCATGTCAAAATTTACAAAAAATCGAGAAAATCAATAAAAGTAACCGATAATTCTGAAAACTAATATTGTATTCGGAATTCTCATGCTCACTTCCCCCCTGTGCCAACTCCTAGCCCTGTAGGTGAACTCTGCGAAAAAATCGATAAAAATCGGTAAAATCGACATCGATCGATAACGAAAAGTGGACTGTGACACCCGCCGGGGCCCGAAGTGTATGTGTGCCAAGTTTGGTCCGGATACGGCGGAGCCGGGTAAGCCAGCTAGTGGAGGATATTTTGGCAAGGATCCAAGAAAACTTGGCAAGGACATCCTTTAGGAACAAATCCTCATAACTTTGCCTAGAGATGACTTCGAAAAATTTGATTCTCTGGGCCTAAAAGTAAGCGAAAGTTTAATTACATTGGTTAGAAAAGTCAACTTCCTTATGAAAACGTTTTGTTTCATGAATTTTGAAGTTTCACATTGTTGAAGACCGCGATTTTCATTCAAATTCATCTTTTTTCTTTGGATAAAGGACCTTTGTGTCAATCAATCAAGACAGTCAAAATGTCATAAAACATCTGGAGGCTTCAAGATGCAATTTGCAGTTTATCATAGTTTCAAACCTATTCCGATTAATTTTGACACTAGAGATTTCATAGACCATTGAAACTATATCGGTAGTCCATACAAAATGGTACATTATAGCAAAAGCTCATCACATGCAAATTAGTTAAAATTATTTCCTGACTACCACTCCCTACTTTCGACTTCGAATCCAGAAATTTCACTAAAAAATTCACTTAAAATCTTTCACACAACACTAAACTTGAAATTCTTCATCTTTTAATAGTAGATTTTGAAAGCTCACTTTTTGGTAAAAATAGAACTCGTGTAGCGAGACAGTTGTTCATCTATACGGTAGATGTATTACTGAAAAATGCGCATTTGATTCCAAATCTGTCCTTCGCATCCTTGAAAATCAATTCCAAGAAGAGTTACAAGGGCTTGTTTCTAATGGATTTCTTCGCCAAATTTTCCTGGATACTTGCCAAAATTTCCTCCACAGCGCTCGCGCTTTTAGTTATCTCCTACGGTTATAGGCGGCAGGCCTTTGCTCCCTCCTGCATCGCATCCAGAATTGATGGGTAAAACGAGATCAAATGCAGGCTTTCTATCTTTCAGAGAAATGTAGAAGGCGATAAACTCTGAACCGAAAAAAAAACATACAAACAGTAAGGATATGAAAAAACAATTAACAACTCACCGGCCATAGTAGAAACGGCATGAGCCTGACGCTTGTTACGGAACATCTGATCGTGGATGAAGCTCACAACATCCGGCCTGATCGGCGCGCGAAACACGTACGGCAGCTTGATCTGAGTCTCTGTAGCCTCGTACTTCTCATTGTAGACAGTTACAAGCGGGCGAGCCGCCATATTACCTGTGATACTGACATTAAAGATGAGAAACCATTCAAAAGAACAGAATAAACGATATCAAATGAGGTGGTATCGAATGGATAAGCAAGATCAAGAAAAACGTAAAACCGCAGAAAGACAGATAAGTTATGCTAAATTATGATTTTACAGATGCACATTATGTACGATATCAACGTTTCAGAGTGAGAAAAGCTTCAACGGAAACAAGGTTCAAAAAACCACTGCTGATCTCGATAAGAGGTTCATTTTCCGCAAGAAACCCTTTCTTCTCACATGAATCCCAAACCTCCAAAAACTATAGCTATAAAGTGGACTTGTTCTTTCCTTTAGAAAAGATACAACAGTAGGAAACAGAGAAAATATCGCCCAATTCGTTTTCTTCATTCTTTGGCTGAGTATTCAATGCGTATCGGGTCCTGGATGGATGATTGCGGTGGCGCTGGAGCAGCTTTCCTCGATTGACGCGCCATTTTTCTTGGAGATTTCGCGCTTTTGAAGTTTTCCTGAGCAATTTCGGTCTCATCATTTGAAGCTTTGCTTTTGGTAGAGTGACTATGTACGCAGTTTTTTGACAATTGGCGAGGCGACGGCAGGGTTCAAGTGTGGAATGTGTTCATGATCTTATCGGATGAGAATGGCAGATGTGCACGGAAGCAGAATTGTCGCCTACTCCCCTCTCGACCTTGTTAGTGGATTCCTAGCCCATGCATTCATAATCATCCCAAAAACTCTTATTCATCCGCCTGCGTTTGAAGCCGCTCGATAGAAGTAAAGCTACACTTCCGAAACAAAGGTGACTATAAAAATCCTTCGCTTCATTTGGAAAAGCTGTTTGCTGGGCACTTCTAGCGTGCCCTACTTTAGTTGGGTCGGTTTGTTGGTTGATATCATAGGGAACGGCCATAGGTTGCCGGCAACTGTGTCCGAGGTTGCCGGCATTGCCGGTCGTTACCTCATGATAGCCTACACGTTTCGCGCGCTCACTAAGGCTGGGTTCGTACTGATCTGTAGGTTCCGGAACTGTTCCAGCACAGCGCTGGAATCGTGCGCTCTGCTGAAACTGTTCCGGAACTTACGGATCAGTATGAACCCCGCCTACAGGGCTTTCGATTTGAGTGTCAGACCGACGTGGTTCAGATCCTCGCGAGCGCCCTTGCTTGTCTCTCACGTGGTACAATAGCGCATCCGATACCGCGAAGCCCTTAGCGGATGCGTATGAAAGAAAACGTGAAAGACCCAAGCGAGGTGGCTCGCGAGGAAGTGAACCATGGAGTGAACCACCGTGCACGCCTATGGCCTCGGGCATAGCTCACGCGATTTCAGCCGCGACGCGATTTGGCAATGCTCCAAATGTTCATGACTCATCGGACAGGGTTTCTGAATGTACGAAAGATGGAGCATTCTAGCAACCTACGAAAGTTGTACATGCTGTGCATTTGGGGTCTAACGGTATTGAATTAGAAGATATCTGGCAAATTGCCAGATCGCGTGGCGACTGAAATCGCATGAGGTATGCCCCTTGCCTATCGTGACACTCAGATTGAAAGCCGCTATAAGGTGTCTCTGACCGCGCAACGCCGGAAAGCGGCAAACCCCGCAACCTCGGCAACCGTTGCCGGCAACCTATGGCCGTTTCTATGAAGCGTTATTGGGGACGAATGAATACCAACCACCGCTTCGCAGATAGTGTAGTTAACGATTAGCCCGAATCTGAGAGCGTATACTTAGTTAGATGCGCTTGAAAGTTTGCGCTAGACTACTTTTCGATCCAGTAGAACCCACAATAAGTATTAGAAGATGAGAGTTGAAGTCGACTGTTCTCTATTTATTATTGAACAAAGCATGATTTGAACATAACTCCAGTAAACTGCAGCAGCTCAAACTGGCAGCTAATATATTCTATCACAAGTTATCGTCAAATGCGTCTGTTTTTTTTGCGACAAAAAGCAAGCGATATGTTAGTTCCCCTATAATTCCTAAAAATCAATGTAAATAGTTAGTGAGCAGTTGACAAATGTACTCTGGGAAAATCGTTTGTGCTTATTCCAACTCACTCTTGTCAGTAGAAATCAACCCAAAGAAAAAAGGAAGCAATTAAGAGTTATAGTTAGCCGCAACTGAGTTTCAACTGATCGTGAGCAAGTCCTGTACATTTTGTACACTCTTTGTGAATATGATGAATATGAAGATGGTCTACGTTGAAAGCTTCACTGAATTTGTTGCCTCGTCTATGTTAGTTTTCTGTTCGTTATGGCTTTGCTGCTTGGGACTTCGTGTGGGATTTCTGCATCCATAAACTTCTAATTTAGGTATGAATTCGTCTACGCATTCGCAGGAAATGGCCAGTTGTTGTAGCAACGAAGATGTGGAATTCACCTCCGAACTTGAACCTCAGCCTCATTGCAGTTGCGGTGCTTACGACAAAATACTGTGTGCAACAAGTTTGCTGCGCAGAAGATTGGTTAATGCAGTCCTTACTGAGTTGGACCAGTACGAGCAGCCTTTGGGATCTCTATTACAATTTTCGAGACAGGTTTGCATGAATTTAGTCTTTAATTCTTTTAGAAGCTTGCATTACCAAAGACATTCCTGTAAGGAATCAGATGTTCCTGGAGCTGACCAAAGCCAGCTGAGCTCGCAGTCGCAAACGCACAATTCTCAAGTTGCTCATACCCTCACAGACTCTCTAGATACCATTGTTAATAGTATTGTGGTTAATGCATCGTTGTTATTGTTATCAAAGATGGAATAAATAATTTTATATTCCACTGAAGCTGAGTTCTCTATGGTATTTTTTTGCCGAAATACTTTGTATATTTCACTTTCGATTGACCTTTACAGTGTGTTGTTGTTTACAGTCAATGACAGAAAAGAAGATAACCAGCGGTTTGTTAGCGTGGATCTCCGACCAGCTGGTTGAAGAATGCACCCCTCACAAACTGGTGGTTCTTCTGTCAGAGGTTTGCGGAGGTGCTAGCTGTGAGTGCTACTTGTGATTATAACCCTCTGTTTTAAACAGCTGAATTTCAAAAATTCTTCACATTTTCTGTGTTTCATTAATATTAGGTAGAACACTATTTGCAACTGATCTCATAACTTCCCTCTCACTCAACATGGTGCGCTCAAATTTTGCCACTGTGTTGGTTATTACGTAAGCTACAAGCGCAGCTGCTGTCCTACCAAATTCTGACGGCGCAGTGAGGGTTACGGTAGGTGTATGGTATGAAGGGGAGAAATTCAAAGTTTGACGGATTTGACTGAAACTTGGCACAGAGGTGTTATCCGACATGCTGATCATGAAAACGATAGTGAAATTCCGTGATAAGGGGTTTTTTGTAAGGTTACTGTAGGAGTACGATATGGGGTCTCACCCTAAACATTGGAAAATGGCGTTGAATCAATAAATGAATATGATATCCGCGTTCGGCAGGTCAAATAACCTTACGATGTGAAGTCTCGGCGGAATTTGAGCTTCGGACTCTTTAGTCACTGACGGTCATCCCCAGCAGCTCTTGCGTACATCGACTCGTTCGACTTTGTGAGGACGCCAAATCTCGACATGCCCCTGAATTTTGTTTCTTTCTTACTAGGCCAAAGGAGTCAACCTCCAGCAATAATTTGTAGACGAATCCGGATTAATGCGCATGGTCTAGGCTGCTAAAGGCTTCATTTTAGCTTTAACCCCCAAAAATTCTCAATTTTTACTAGTTCTCCAAAAAATGCCTGAAACTTTTCTATTTCGTGCTCAAAATTTAGACAATTTGTGCTCACTTGTCGCCCACATTGCATTTTACGTAATGCCAAAATTTGAGTGCGCCATCTTGAATGAGAGGGAAGTTATGAAACCAGTTGCAAAACTTAGTGTTCAACCTAATACATTCACACAATTACTAAATATGATGTTGATCGTCCCTTCTAAGGACGCAGAGTAGCCCTTTTTCTTTCCATCAAATATGTTGCTTTCTTAGGCAAATGATGTGAGTTGTAACTTGCTATAAGTGATTCGTTTCTTTATCTCAGATGCATTATAGATAGTGGGACCTTAGATGTAGTAGAATCATTGAAAGCAAAGAAGTGTATCCATAGTTTCTGGGACGTTGCGTCGTTATTCAAAAATGGGGAACTGTATACAAAGTGATAGTGAAACTAATCAAAGCATTGTCTCTGCTAATTGCAAACATCTATAAAAATGAGGGAATTTTCGAGGCCACTCCGCTCTGTGGTGTGTATAATTAGTACGCTTCCAAGCTTGTGCATATGTTCATTTTCAATTGGAGGTAACTCCAGCATACATCAGATGTTTGCCTCATCTAGGACTTTTTCTACAATGCACTTGAAGTTGCAATCTCTGTTTTCAGGCTCGCTAAACGATGCTGCGCAGTACACATCTGTATGTCGCCAGCTTATTGAGAAACTAGCAGCTGTTCCCAAGGAATCATTTGACTCTCAGGAGTTTGCAGAAATTCTCTGTTGCCTGGCGGAAAATCGGCGTCTTTCGTCTCAGTTTGCTGATCGATGCATGAAAGCAGCTAACATGAAGACATGGAAAGCACCTTCAGAAATTCTGCATTCGAATTCTGTTCCGGAGAGTAATACTGCAGAAGTGAGTATACTTGTCGTTAGCTTGCATTCAAAGCATTTTGACCGCGAACAATCTTAAGGCACTTCTTCTTCGGAATAATCGCGCAACCCTTTTGAGTTCCGGTCTGCTCAATCACACATTAGAGTCACTTTGGCCTCTGGAGAAACTTTCCAAATGTGAAGAACAGTTCTGCGAAGATCAAAATCTGTTTGTGTAAGTCTATACAATCCCAAGGCCAAATGTCATAGATCATGACGGTTGTTCAGGGAATCGTTAATTCTTCGAAACGCAGATAAGGTCAAGACAATATTGCAAACTGACTGGGTCACTATTGACTCTTATTGTCCGCATCTTCCAGTTCCATTCACGGCTGCTGCTCTTGCTTGTGTCAACAGGTTAGTTTGTCCGGAGGGTGTTTTTACTTACTACCTACCTTACTTTTATTTGTTTTAGTGCTCTTACAACTTCTGCTCTCGATCTAGACCTGAGCTGTTCTCTTCTCGAAAATGTGGTTCGGTCTTTCGCTCTTTCTTTGTCTTCTAGTCCATCGACTATGGGTCATGTATTCAACTCAGTCGCCAAACTTTTGGGAAAGGTATGTATCGATATAGAACGCATTGGTTTTGCATCATTATTCATATTTGCACAGGCATCACGAGATCGTAATCATTTGATGCGGATGGTAGAGTCTGTAGAAGCGCTTTCTGTTTGGATTGATTTCACTTTGGCGAGATACAGCAGACTTTCGGCTTCGTTATGGAATGCAATAGACGAACTTTTGAACATGTTGGCAGAGCAGATGGAAAACAGAGCTAAAGAAGCGACTACTGGTGCAAAAACTGTTCCTATTGCCTCTCCTGAAGAGTGTAAGAGCTATCTTTGAGGGGTTGGGTACTTACTGCATTTCTCATTTTTTTAGCGCTGAATGATGAATCCGTCGCTGGAAATTGGCTTGAGAGCATTCTTGAACAAGTTCCGGCAATGCTTGATCAGCAGTCTGCTGTACAATCCCAGATCGTATCTGAAATAGTTGAGGTGTGACCAAATTTTCTTCTGGAGGGGGTTCAGTGTATAATTCATATACCTTAGATTACCAAGAGGATCGAATTTCTTTTCCGTATGATCTCTAGTGTCAGAGATCTGTCTCACTGCAACGACAGCATTTCGAGTGTTTTCAAAAAGGTAAGAAATTGGGAAGCAAAACACTTTTGCACGGTTCATTTTAGGCTCAAAATCTGTCTAATGCGGATATCATAGGATATCTACAAAATGCCTATATTTCACTCTCAAATCGCAGCCTGATCAGATCAGAACTTCAGGTATTCCTTGTTTTCTCGTTCCGCGATGAATACGGTTGTTTTTTCTAGAGTCGACTACTTGATGAGGTGTTGACTAGTGAAGGTTCGCAGAAAGCAGCCTTGCTGCAGACTCTAATCTCAGGAAGTGCGGGAAGCACGCGATCTCAGCTAGTTTCTTCTATCTTCAAGCATGCACTGGAACAATACAGGGGAACGGAGAGGTCCAAGTCTGCGGAGAGGTTGCGTCTATCCATGTCTTGTCATCGATAATCTCAGTTTATCTTTAGAATTTGTCGGGAAGAGTGTTCGGTATTAGAAGAGTCTTCTCATTATTTGACTAAGCAGCATGCATCTGAATTTGCGAAGCAAACTGTGAACCTCTTGCAATCTTTTTTGACTGAGTTAGTCTTGTTACGTTCTCATCTGTTGTGAATCCTATTTTATTCACCTTCAATCATTGCTTCAGCAAAACTTCGTCGGTCGTCCTTGTAGATGGCGTGATATCGCTTTTGCTCACTTTGGTGCATAGAAGACCGGGTATATGTTTTTTTTTTCATCTGCTGTATGGTTCTACAAAATGAATGCATTACAGACTGTGACTGGTCACTTGATCTGAAGATGCTCGGAAAAACTGAAAGTGATTGGTGCGCACTAATGGACTCATTGGCCGTATTCTCGCTCCGTCATCCATCTCAGACATTCTTGTCCGGCACTTATGCTTTACTATCTCATGAGCATTTGCGTAATGGTGAAAATCTTGAATTACCCATGCTGCTTTTCATTCTTCGGCATTTACCACGTCTAATGAGTGATCAGGGACAAAAAGATCTACAGGTATATTCACCAAGCAAACCGCTGCGTTTTTATTAGTGCTGCTTTCAGACTTTCAATAAGCATGTTCCTGGAATAGAAAGTCTTGTAAAGCAATTTGTGCAACCAGATAATGTTGCAAAATTGACAGATCGTGCGGTACGACTTTTCATTGACTTCCTCAGTGGGGTGAGCCAATTATTTTCCACGCGATTTTGTGAATGAGAATTCAAGGAGCTTTTCAGGGGAGTTGGCAAGAATATCTTCAGAGCTTCATACTCGTTGTACTCATAATTGAGTCCACGGGTAATGGTCTGGGATTATCCCTTTTCGAAAGCTTTACGTACCTATTACACAATATTGACGTGCATGAAGTGTGAGTTCTACATTTCTATTCCTATCACGTTCGCATCACGATTTTTATGATAGCTCGAAGCCTTTTGAAGTTTAAAAAAAGGCTACGAACTACATTGGAAAGACGAAATCATACACAGGAGAAAATTTGGTTGTGGTGGTGTCACATTATGATCTCTTCTGTTCAGCAAAGACGCATGCATATCATGGGAAGCTACTGGCGGTATTGACCGCTTACATTGTACGCTGTCCATTTTTCGAAATACAGCTTTTTGCGACTCGCTACCATCTTTTGAGGAGCAGTGCCGGCAGGCGCTTAGTGACGATGTCTTGACTAAATTGGTTGCTGACAATCGCTCACCTCGCAAGAGTGAACTGAATTCAATTCTGAAGGTATCACTATGAGTTATCGATCTTGTCTGTTGATTGCAACTGTTCCAGGGCGATGGTGATATCGGCGAGGAATTAAAAAATGGTGTTGATGATTACTTACTACATCAGCACCTTCGCCATGAAGTTGCAATGCTGCTACTACGCGAAGTGCAAGAGCTGTGGAAGAAGAAGTGTGTTTTTTTTTTACAAAAATTACTTTCTGTTTCCAATCAAAATGTTAAGGCCTGACTGGAGCGTCCTCAATGTAGCACATGTGAAATGGATTGTGAAAGTTGCCTGTAGCGGACAGTATTCGAAAGAAACGGCTGAGCGTGCTGATCAGGAACTCAATAAGGTAAAGACTGCTGATGTTTCTTCTTTGAGGACCTTTCTCGTTACTTTAACAAGAGCATAATTTATACTAATCAGGGTTTTTGTTGCTACAACTGAAATAACTTTCTCTCTTTCTAGTTGGGAGCGGATCAAGCTGCAGAGTTTCGTTTCTGTTATCTTTCGGAAACTTTGTTGAGTGGAGCTACAAGCGTTCAACCTGTCCAGAGCTTTGAGAAGAAGTTGGTGATTAATCTTTACTTTAGTCAAATTATACAGCTGTATCGAAGTTATTTAGGCCTCTGATTAGCATTTTCTCAACGTTCTATGAAGCTGTGCTGACGAGCGATAAAGTGAAACCGTCTTGGATAGAGGTATTCTGATATTCAAGCAACTCACTGTGCGGTAACCTTTGGTTGAACAGAATCATCTTGTCATCTTGGGTGATGTTTTGGATAAATGCGCTTCCGTCGATTCTTCTTCTGAATGCACAGCCCTTACTCCAACATTCGTGCAAGTGTTGTCGAACATGCTTCAGAAGAGTAAGTTTGTTCTCATTCCTTTGATACCATCTGTTTAGATTATGAAATTCAGACCCCAACTCTGATTTGTCGAAACAATTGTGTTCGCTGTTAGCTGGCCGCTTACTCTTTCTACCTTCTTGGCTGCGCTGCGCTCAAGCTCCTAGCGCACTTATACTGAGCTTCGCTCCTATTCTGCAACATCTGAAGGATTACGTAGGTTTCAACTTCACTTACAGTTCGCATTGTGATCTCTTTGCCTCAGGTTGATGCGGAAGTTTTGCATTGCGCCATGCGCGACAGCGTCGGAACAATACTACGGCCGACGCTTATAGATGACTTGCATGATTTTTATGCCATTGTCGTACAGTCGACGGATCGTTTAGCGCAGACTGCACTCACATGGACTGGGAAACAAAGTACGGTATAAGAATACACTAGCAATCCTATTAAGTTCCTTTACAGCAGCTGAGAGACGCGATCGCTTGCACAGCCTTGTACCATTGCAACGGCGAGAAGATGTTTTTCACAAAGCACTGATGATTATTTGCACTTATGGTGATTCTGAGACGCACATCGAGGTTTATCCAGCTTGATAGTTTTTCATCTTGCACTGTAGCCTCTATATTGCAGGTCCTTCGTCATTGCGCTGAAAATCTCTCCGCGTGGATTGATGTGTCCACGGACGAAGAAAATGTCATGCGCGGACAAAGCCTACTCGTGGTCAGTTTGAACTTCTTACATACTCAATCTTTATAGATCAACTAGCTGGCTTACTCGGCTCCGCCGTATGTCCCGAATAGAAAATTCCATTTCTTAACCGATCCGGACCAAACTTGGCACACATACACTTCGGGCCTCGGCGGGTGTCACAGTCCACTTTTCGTTATCGATCGATGTCGATTTTATCAATTTTTCGCAAAATTTGAGCTAGGGGGCTGGAATTTGGCAGGGGGTGTAATCGAGCATGCTGATCACCCCCACGGGGGTGATCAGCATGCTCGATTACCCCCCTGTGCCAACTCCCAGCCCCGTAGCTCAAATTTTGCAAAAAATCGATAAAATCGATATCGATCGATGACGAAAAGTAGCCTGTGACACCCGCCGGGGCTCGAAGTGTATGTGTGCCAAGTTTGGTCCCGATCGGTTGAGAAATGGAATTTTCTATTCGGAACATACGTACACACAGACATACAGACAACAGACAGACAGACAGAAAGACAGACAAACAGACATTCAGCTTTATATATAAGATTTATTGCGTACAACTAGTTCAGTGCGCCTTCTCACAATGAGAATATCTCAAGAAGTGTGAAGTCCTCAATTCCGTTCACGTCTTGATGTTTATGTAACACTCCATAAATTTTTGGTTTAGAATGACAACCGGCTTGTGTTTCGTCTGATGGTTGTGGCGAACCTTTTCGAGTATTGTTCGGAACTTGGCAAACGTGCCGAACCATACTGCTCTGATACATACTTTAGCGATTCGGAAACGTTGAAGGTAATTGACTTGTTGGTCACTGCTACACTTCTAATAATCTATCAGAATACCGTCACTCGCCGTGGAGGGCCAACAACGCTACCGACAGTGGAACGCCGCGAGGAAACACGTTCTGGCAACAATGTATCACTCTGCACATATGCCGCTACGGAGAAAGGTTGGATGAACATTATGATTTGTCCTCTTCCTCATTTTTGTTCATATGCGCTAGGCTGACTGCAAAAACGTGTCGTAAACAAGCTTTTTAAAATTGAGTGTATTCAATTCAACGAATAAACAAAAGGGCTACTTTAGAACTGCTCGAACTAGCCGTTAGAAGCTCTTGCCTGTCCTTTTGCTCTTTGGGTTTATTTGCAACAGAGAACGATTAGTGTGGAATCTGCTGCATGTTTCAATTTGCAACCATTGCAACAAGGAAATTTTGAAGCGCGAGAAATCCAGCGTCTTCTTGCTAAGTTACTTTAGTGTATATGAGCTCATCACTCGTCATGATTTCTTCTATATTTCACGATGTCCTAATCATTCACAGATGGAAATTACCTGCATACAAATCAGCACATAACAGAACAAGTTTTCTCACCGTTGATAGATGGCGAAGTGAAAATGTGACATCTAACGGATATTGACAAGCCTGTTTGGACATCATTCAATTTGTCCCCATTCCATCAAAAAAAATTTCTTGCTTGAGAAAACTTCAAAGGCTATAGGTGCTGTTTTTGGAATTTGTTGAGTTCGAAGCGGGATGTAACCATCATTCCTGTACCTAAATAATCATGTTGCAGAATTTGTACATCAACACTGGTACAATTGTCATACATGCAAAATGACCGATAACAAAGGAGTGTGCAGCGTATGCGCTATAAATTGCCACAGAGGGCATGATTTATCTTACAGGTAGCACAATCGAAGTATCTCCATGATACTCTTGTTTTTTCTTTTTAGTAAACAAGGTTCTTTCTTTTGCGATTGTGGTGCTGGAGGTTGTCCAGCGCTGAAGACGGCGACTTACCGTTGCCCAGCTATCTGCGCTGCACGAGGCAGAACTGCTCCTTCTGTGCATACGGTAGGTGCTAGGCAATGAATGCACTCTGCTACGTCAAGTAGTACCAATTTAGACGGTTGATAGCGGAATTCATCAACCAGTGTCGTTCCCAGTTGCTCTTGAGCACAATGCCGACTCTTTGGAAGTGATGAATCTATTGGTTTGTTATTTCTATCAATATTTTTTATTTTATTTATTCAATTTATTGTTTCTCTAGCCGTCTGTGTTTAATTTTGACTAGTGTATTCAAATTCAGCGATGTACGCATCAAGCTTTCATATATCAAAACTATTAAATATCGTTGCTGTTGCAGTTTTACAAATGTGGGTTTTAAGGATCGGATACGATCTGGAATTGAAAGTCGTATGGAAGTGATTGAAAGGATTGTCCGTGCTTCACTGCATGCTCGTGACTCTCGATGGTCTTTAGATGAACGCAGAGACAATGTTCGACGTTCACTAGCTGATCCACAACGTTTGAGAATGGTCTACGATCAGGCAATCATGGTAAGGTATTCTTGCTTTGTGCAAGAGTTCTATCAAAATCGTTTCGCAAAGTTTAAAAATAAGGATTCTGTCTGTATTTTAGCGTACGTATATTCTGACGAATATGAATGTTTTTGAGACATGTGCAAAAAATGTACCACGATTCACAGTACTTTCTCATCATTGTTCAGGAGGATTATGAATCAGCGAAAACAAACGCTCTTATCGAACCGAGGAGACCACCGGAGCCACCCAATGACAGAAATAAAGCCAGGGAAATTTGTCATGTGTTGCCCTTTGGTAGGTTATCAGCAAGCACTGCAACTGGATTCATCGCCGTACTGGCTACTGAGATATTTCAGAAAATGGCTGTCATTTGTGGTTCATGCTTTCTGAGCATGCAACGACATTGCAGATTTTCCATATGCATCCCGGCCAGAGCTTATCCGATGAACTTGAACACATGGTGAGTTCTGGAAGTTTACCTTGTAATCGATTATCACCTTTGCCCTCGTTCAAGCGCATTGATTCTGAGCCTGTTGGATTCGCTGGTCGTCAGATTTCCTGTAGGGATGATAAAGTGGCGGTCGCTGGACTCAGCGATATCCTTACTCTCCGTATGAGTAGGGAGGGAGAGATTGTCGACCGCATGGTTATCAAATTGGCCGAACTAACGACAACGCACAGTAACCCTATAGTAAAGGTGAGAATATCTGCGACATCTCGTTCAAAATGCTTAAACAATCGCGTTGAGGTCATATGGGCTCCGAATCGTCCTGCGCTACTGGCTGTTGCCACTATGCAGCTGATTAGGATGTATGATTTGATGCTTGATGCAGACAATTTTGTCGAAGAGCTTGTGCTCCCAGTTGGTGTGTAAAACTTTTCCGAAGTCTTTCTCTTTGCTTCGCAGATCATTTGAATCATTACGGCCTATCGATTTTAGGGAATGTGGAAGATATCGAACTGATCCATAGTTCTGCAAATAATGAGATGTGGTTGATGGTATTGAGCTCATCTGGCCATCTTTATGAGCACAAAGTAAGTGTAAGGTGATCTACACTCTTAATGCTTTTCATTAATCATTCGACCTTCCAGTTGATTGCGAAAACTGCGGACAACACCTCGTTTTTCCTGACCAACACAGTAACTTTGCCTCATACGCAACAAACACTAGGATCAGGAGTGTAAGTCGTTTTGGGCACTCTACGTTCGTGCTTCTCCTTTATTTTCTATACGAAAAGGGATAGGAGCCGGGAAAAGTGAGAGTAATTGTTTCGAGATAATATATTTTTTCTAAAAAATTGAAGCACACTGGTATTTACTCGCAAAATGTTCGAAGCGATACCTGTGTGACTTGTTTTAGATCATGCATTTATCATATAATTCAGATCTATCCATTATTCTTCTGTTTCTGAGCTGCTGTTTCTTTCACTTGAGAAAGGCACGTGGTTTGCACCTATTGAGAAAGGAAACCTTTCGAGAGAGAATCTGACATTCAACTGGACAAGGTTGCTTTACTTGCACGTACCGCATCAACGGATTGACTGCTTTCAAGGCTCGAGCTGTCGACGTCTGTACACTGCTGGCAGGAGTCTAGCGGGGTCATGGCGTGCCTTTCTTACCCAGTTGCATCTTCTTTGGTTTTTATATATCCGACACTGGAGCAGATCCTTGTTCAGGTATCATTGATTATACGGATTGTCTTCTGAAATGAAAATTCCAAAGGTATGTTGTCACTTGCAGCGTGTGATACTGAAGAGATCCGCGTTTACTCATGCTCTTTTCACTGGATCATCTGCAGATATGATATACTCAATGCCATTCTTCTACGACTCGCCTACAAACCTGATCTACTCAGCGTTCGTAATATGTTTTTTCCAAGACTTATACCCCGTATATCGAAGTTTCAGACGATGGTCTACGTTGCCCGACTTGTGGATAGAGTGTATGCCGAGTGAAATGTGCGCTCAAGCCGAGAAGGAGAAAGAAGAGCCTGAAACAGAGCTGCAGGACAGCGACTTGGTCACGGTACATCCGACAGCCAAGATGCAGAGTTTTCGCGAAAATTCAAAATGGTCTTACAGCTTTTCGAGCGTTGTGAACCTGTGGAACGGGTCGAAGTCTCCTGTACCGACCTTTCTATCTTCTATGATGTTCATGACCTCAATGTTCGACTAAGCACCGTTGGATCCATGCCTGTCACTGCTATTCAGGTAAGCGCACGCAATGCGCTGTAATCCATTGATCTTGAATAGGTATAGAGCTGATTGAAATTCAGTAAAACACCTTATGTGTTCTATTTTTGTGTGAGAAATGTTAGGAGAGATAGGGTGGAGGAGTCCTCCTTTCTTCTTTTTTCTAGAACTTGGTTTCGCGAGTTTTCCACTATCCTTTTTTCCCTGCTGGGCCTTTTTGAACATATTATTCTTTCTCCCTTACTTTTTAAATTGCAATCCTTTGCATCGGAATTCATGCCGTTCTATTTGCAAATTGTTTACAGAAAGAGCAGTTTGTCCTGACGATGAGGGTGGGAGACCCTAACACCATTGTTCGGGCAGTTCGTGTGGAGATGCCTGCAGAAAGAGGTCGTGGTCCTTCAGAGGTATGACACTTTTTGAGTCTGTGAAGAACCCTCACGTTTATGTCAAGGTGACAATCGGTGGAAAAACATATCCGCTGACCATGACAACAGATCTGGCTAGATTCTTTGACATCAGATTCACAAGAACTCAGTCTCTGGAATTGTATGTTTCTTGTTTTTTCTTATATCAAAACCCCCGACTGTTGATAAGGGGAATTCGGAAACTTTAGGGACCATCGCAACATAACCCTTACGTTTTCTGGAAGATCGCGGTCGCAAGTAGGAATGACTGTCGTTTCCGTACGCCTCTATGGCATGTCGAAGAGAGAGTTTGGATTCCCCCGTTCACATCTTATTGCTCGTATGCCGCTATCCTTACCTGATCAGTTCCTGCTCAACGTGCTGCGCATGCTAACAACTCTAACTACGCGGAATCTCTTTGTCAAGGTACCATGATTCCGCCTTGTTTGAGAATCTATGAAGTTCAAAGATAGGACCGTGAATGGATGGTCAAAACCGCATGTCGCCTGATGAGTCCCCGTTTATGTCATCGTGATTTGGTCGATGCAGCCAACCATCTTCTCCGAGTTCTTTTGGTTGACAGCGTGCACGATTACTACGCAAGGAAGGATCTAGTCATCATTAGTACGTTGATTTGTTTAGTTTCTCTCTTCTTTATCCCCACCCAAGCTCTCTTTTTCATTTCCATTTGTTGGCAATTCATTTTCTTATTTGCTTTCTTGCCTAAGATAAAAGTCGATTGCTCCAGATGATCTAGCAGTCTTTTCTCGTGGCAAAGTGCCCATTCCAACCGACCTGATGGCTGACTTTGCGTTACAGCTGAAGTACATGATGTGTACGCGTTGGAAGCAGTTTTGGAGTATTGTGAAAAGAAGTTGGTGGTTTGACAAGACTTTCATTCGTGTCTATGCTCTCCAGCTTTCAGAGTTTGGAAGTTCTGTTGGCATTATGTCTTTCCTGCATCGAGAAGTGGCTGCTGCAGCTGCTCTAAATGCTCCGGTCAGCGTATCTGATCCCTTACCAGCATTGGAGCTGTACACTGTGTTGTTATTCATTCTCCTTTCTGTAAATGATCCACATTCGAAGCAGCTCACACAGGAATATCTGAATCTTTATACCGATCCTAGGGTAATTCAAACGACTGAATTTTCGAGCTTATCTGCTAGAAAATCCTTTCCAAATTGCTGTTCCAGACTTCTCATATCGCGCATCGTGTTCGCCTTGTTGGGCAGTCGCTCATCTATTCCTTTGCACTTACAACAAGGAATGACAGATCTCAAGCACGATCTATGAGCTCATCAACGAAAGTGATGCGATGGGGAGGGTTGCGTCCCTTCTTCAATCGCACTAAAATACTGAGGTAAGCTTGAGGACAGCCATGTAGTAATAAGCATAGCGAAAAATTTTGCATTACAGCCCAGAAGAGGATCCAGTACAGATGGAGTTTCTTATGGGACCCTTGAACTCAATCGAGATTCTTACACAGAAGAACAGTGATATGTTTGATCTGGGTGAGTTTCTATGAATGTTGTGGGCGAGGTTGTCTAGCTGCGATATTATTTTTTGAGAAAGTGAATGGCTTCTTCACCTTTTGCAAGCTTCGTTAGCCAAAATACGCGACGAAGGATCTATCGGCTCGCTACCTGTGGAGGGTGTACCAGTCGGGTGAGAGCCATTTTTGCTAATAGCTTCGGTCTGGAAAGTCCCATACAGTAGCTGTCGTTACTGTAGAATTTCGTACCTTTTGAGTGTGATTGTTTGTAGTCGCGGCGATACTGTCCCATCTACTTCATTACTCATCTTCGCTATGGCTTTGATGGCTCAGCTATATCCAGCGAATCTCTACCCCACAGTAGTGCAACTGATTGCGATGGTTGATTGGAAAGGAAGCATTATTGACATCAATGACCATAACTACAGGTGTTTCTCTAGTAAACTATTGTACTTTTTTGTAATCGAGATCTGATTTGTAGACAATTTTTGCTCTTCCGTTTGTTGTTTGTTCTACTTACCAAATGCGGTGAACATTTGGAAAACAGGAAGAAGAGCGAAAAGGAGTCCGAAGGCTAGTGTTCTATCGAATAAGCTATAGAGCCCGAAATTTACGAATTTCCAGAAAAGAGAACGGCTATGTTGCCTGAGGAAGATTCTGGATCTCCTTCTGCATCCGTAAATTCGGCTGTGGTTGAATTTGCAGCGGCTGATGCATCACGCGAAGCCACACCCACTAGTACGTCTGAAGATAGAGCGACTACCAAACGGAGAAGTACTGAAAAGTTACTTGCGCAGGTTGGAGTCTCCGTTTCCTTGTCACCTCTTCACTCGCTAGTATGCGTGTAATTTAGATAGTGACGCAGTTGTGCAACGCTGGAGCGCTGGATTTCTGTCGAAATCTGTTAGAAAGTGTAGCAAGTTACTGGCGCACCGCTAGAGAACATCGAACGGCACCAAGAGCATGGTCGCGGGACAGCGGTGCAGCTTCACATGAATCTGGCGTTACTGGGATATCAAATGGTACGTGTGCTAGTATTCTTGTCTTCAGTGCATATAAGACCTCGAGCCAAATTAATTTCCTGTGTTTCCTTCATGACTGGCAAATTACAGCGCTGCAAAGCGGTTGATAGTCTTTTTGTTTTTGAATTACTGCAAAGGAGAGATAGGCACGCGCCATACTTGATCCGCTTAATCCACTTGATCCGCTTGATCCGCTTCACCATTGGTCAGTTCACTGAATTGACCAATGACGAAGCGGAGCAAGCGGATCAAGTGGATTAAGCGGACTAAGTATGGCGCGTGCCATAATGATCAAAATTTATCAGCGTTCTCCTGCTTAGAAATGGAAATGCTTTTGTAGGCAGAACCGGGGTCATGGATGCTCGAGAACATTACTACACTATGATCACCGACGTTGCTCTTCGTCTACCTTGCCAGATGAGACGTATTGTCAACGATGTAAAATTTGATGAGAGATGGCAGCGTATCTTGTGCGAGGTTTGTGGCCTGTGTCGTCGTTTATTTAGCATCTGACTTTTTTACTTCAGTTAGTAACCTACCAGCATGCTCCACAGCTCCGCAGACAGAGCAAAAAGGTCTTACTAACAATGTTCGACGGCGACAAGCAAAAATATCGTGAAGTGCGTGATCAGCATATGATGAGAGCACACATCGAACTTCTCAAGAAAAAATATGCACAGCATAGGTAGTGTTGCACATTGACTTAGGTTAAGCTATACGTTCACTTTTCAGTTTCAACCATCAACAGCTGACCGAAATGGTAGAGATTGTGAGTGCCATTGCAGCTACTGCCAATCAACGCACTACATTGTGGAGGACCATCTGCGAGGAGCAGGTACTCTTAGGTTCTTTAGGTTTAGGTCTCAACTAAAAATCAATCCAAAATGTATCCCTTTAGCTTAATTGGCTCCTACAACTGGCATGTCGTGTAGCTGATGCGGTGTCTTGCAGTGTGGTAGATCTGTTGGTCTCGGCGATTAGAGAGACCCCAGGTCAACAGGAGCAAAATATCTATCTGGCTGATAAGTAAGTGTCATTTGATCAGTCACTATGTCTACCATTGGCGCTTGATTTGAAGTTGAGTTGTTGGTTTGATTCTCAGGATCATCTCGGAAGAAGAGAACAGATGTTTGCTGATGATGCTTCTTGTGCGATATTTGATAGGTCGAGATGAAAGCCGGCGATGGCTAATGCATGGACTTTTGAGATCTACAATTCAATTAGCTAGTCGACACAATCAGGTGACTACGCTGCTTTTCATTTACTTTGCGCTCATCAACTTTCAAAAATGTTTGGTTGAATCAACTCTTAAATGTTGTAGGTGATTTTATTGCGTATCCTCTGGAACGACTTGTGGCCGCTGGCTCGCGGTCTTGGCGATCATGGTGCCCAGCTAGCGGACATCCTCGCCACTTATGCATCACGCTTGTTCAATTCTAGCGAAATGCTAGCAGTTTGCGAGGCAGAGTTGGAGGCAATCACTTCCACTGTTAGCAGGTACTATTTCCCATCTTTACATAGTGTTACTATTTAGCTAGGGTTTTGCGTGAGAGCTTCATATATGTCTTCTCTGAGCATTTCAGGATTGAGAAAGAAGGTCATGCGGGATGGTATCGCCAGATGACAGGGCTTGGATTAGGGTGGAAAACTATGCTCATGGATACAAGCCCTTGTCTAGTGTGCTTCTCCAGAAAAGTGAGTGTTTTGAGTGATGTGCACGAGATTACAACTCTGTACACTTCCAGGATACAGTTGAGACAGTAAAGCTGAATTCCATCAAGCAAGAGGCTCGCTTTGCTGCAAATGCTATGATGCTGAAGCTGACTTGCCACTATGAAATCAGCAAGGTCATAATCAAATTAACAGATGTCAAACGAAATAAGATGATAAAGTGAGTGTTTTCCGTTGTTCTTCTTTCTCTTTCGAAACATCTTTCACAGACGTGTCAATCTTTTCTACTGTCCAAAAACGGTCGAATCCGCAGTGGAATTAAAGACGTGCCCTGAACTCTGGCAACGAGCTTCGAGTTGTAGTGTCAGTTCCTAAAGCAAAATATACTGATTTATGTTGGACAGATTCGATTGTTTAGGTAACAGCAAATGACACTGAAGTGGTGCTACAGCTGGCTATACCTGTTGTTACGGCCTCTTTGGTCATCCAGTTCTCCGAACTGACTGAAAGTCGCCAAAATCAGGAACTTCACTGCCCAAGGTATAGGAGACAGTTCGCCATTTCGCCGCGTACTTTTTTTTGAGCTCTACTCTTGGCGATTATTTAAACCAGCATTTCATAGCGGTCTTTGTTGAATTGGAGTCCCTTGGTAGTCTGCATCAGCTTTCACTGCTAGCAGCAATTTTGTGTAGTACTGAAGTGGATTGCTGTGATTCAGCGGCATAAGATTGACAGGAATTTGAGTTGCTCATTGTCTTTACTACAAACCGCTTAAAATTTGCGAGTTTAATCTTTCTGACAACTTGTCATCAAGAGCATGTCTATCATACTTTGCCCTGCTTCAGGTGTTCATCGGTGGTGCAGCCAAACCCTGGTCTTTGTGAGCATTGTGGGGAGAATGTCTTCCAGTGCGTTAAATGCCGTGCGATCAACTATGACGAGAAGGTCAGGGCGAGCCTTAGTTGGAGCAACATTATATTGGTTGCCGTCTTGACCCTAGTTATGTTTCAGGATCCATTTTTGTGCCAGTCATGTGGTTTTTGCAAATATGCTCGTATGGATATATCAGTTGTTTGTCGTCCTCTTCCGGGAGTGCAACCGATTACAACAGATATCGAAAGAGCATCGGTGAGTTTGTGAGATACTCAGATCTGATTTTCTCACTACTGATTCTCCTTTTGCTACCATCTCTGTTAGTTTGAAATTATGTTAAGTGTGTGGAATCCATGGCTCGCTTACTCTGCGAGATGGAGCAAACCCGCGCTCAGCTGGGAGCTGGTAGAGCACTATGCGAATCGTTGTGGCTTCAATCGCGTCCGCTTCCTCCCATAAGCTTCCATGTGGAAAGCCCAGATGCCGCTAATGCTCTTATCGCAGCGCTTCCACCTATAAATCATCAGCAGGTCAGTTCTAATGAAGGATACTTGGTGACCGTGGCCTTTTACAATGAGATGTATACCAGTAGGTGCGTCTTGGAACGCCGATTCTATATCTATGTTCACTACCTGCTGTGCGACTCCCTGAACGAATATGGAATTTTTTCCATATTGATTTTGCGAGATTTAGGCAGTCAAAATCGTCAGTATCGAGACTTTTTAGACTCTGATGTATTGGTGACAGTTTTCCTGAACTTAGCGTGAAGCTCTGCTTTATCTCTACGCTCTTCTGTAGTACGTAAGCGAACATTTCAACGATATTGGTGAATTCTGCATCAGAAACAGTGCAAATTTTGGTGGCAAGAAATGTTTATAACTTCTTTCGGAAGAGCGCACAGCAGATAATGAAAACAGATTTGGAATCAGCGCTTCAAGATGCATTTAATGGTGTACGTTTCATTTCAAAAGGCTATTGTCACCAAGTATCCTTTCTATGTAAGTACTTGTGACGAGGAACTTAAAAATATGTTTTCAGCCAGCTATTCATGCTCTTCTTTTAACAACCACTCACTGCAAAGCGTTACATGAAGAACTGTGCATGCAAACGCAACAACTAATCGCTTTCCGCGAAGAGTTGCGAAGTTATGATAGAAGTGTCAAGACAACGCCACTTCTGCATCAGGCCATCAATCAAGGCTTCTACAACGCTAGGTATTTTTTAAATCTACTCTTTGAATTTCGCACAAAAATAAAGCTGTTATGGTTAATATCTCCACTAAATAAACATTCATTTTCTTCTCTCTGCATCGGCTAAGGCGTTTTTTTTTTCAGCGCGAACTGTTTTGGATGTTTACGAGCCAGCATTCTTCACTCACTTGCTATACTTCAAAGTTCTTGTGACGACGAGCATTGTCTTCAGCGACTTTTGAACTCTGAAGTGGTGTTTGGCACTCTTGTAAGTTTTCTTACTCTCTCCATTCCTTGAGAACATTAGGGGACTATCGAACGTGTGCTTCTTTTGCAAATCACAGGTGGATGTCGGTCGCAAATATGAACCGATTCGAGAAGAAGTTGAGATGTTACTATGCCGTATATCGCTTGAGAATGAAAAAGGCACGGAAAAGTGAGTGTTTATTTGAGTTTATATTAAAGCTCGTGTATTGAGTATTACTTGGATAAATCTTGAAAAATCTATATGGTTTGGACACATTTGATATTCATTGCTTCTGCAGGCTTTGCGACCTTGTCATGAATGGAAAAATTAGTGGCACTGTGCTGGCACGATCACTTAACACATTCCCAGATTCGTTCTGGCAGCTGAAATTCCGCGGACTACTGAAGGTAAGCTTTCATTTTATTAGTCCGTTTTTCTGATGGTTAGTATTGCAAAGTGCTGGATCTAAAAGTGGCCTTCCAAGGGGGAAGCCTCCCTCCCCCCGGATGGGTTGCGAAACTTTGAAAATGTTTACAAGTTGAGAGATGGTGAAAGCGACTTGTTCGCTTGGTAAAAATCAAATTGTTCTGATTATGATTCAAAGTGTTCAGTTAGAGTGATAATTTTTTTGGAATTGATGACAGCCGGTGAAACTTTCTTCACCGTACCCTTTTTTTCGAAATTTTAGGACTGAACTGTTTCGAAAAACGTGATGTGTTTTCCAAAGTATTTTTACGGTGGACGCATCACGTATTCGATGAAATTCTGTCACGTTCCAGATCAGGTGTAGCTTGTGTGTTATTTTGCAAATTACAGAGCGCAATGAAATTCAACGATCACGACACGACTCTTGCTGCTTTGAGCATCATTGATAAATGTCTTGTCGACGCAAAACCGATCAGAAAGAGGATCTACAGAAAGTTACAGCAGAGGAGGCGTGGCATTAAGACCGATGCATCCGAGGTTTGTTTGGTTTTTGCGCTGACTTCCACTACTTCCCCATTTTCAACTTTCGCGCATGTTGTAGAGTGTTCTTGATCGTCGGCGTGTGCAAATCGCCAATCGACATCTCGACTCATGTGCTACCTTTGGTGACTGGTTAGAAGGGAAATTGAATTGGTACGATTGTGAGGCACCTCCAGAGAAGAAACCAAGAAATGATACACATACGAGCGACACAGCTAAGGTTAGTTGTGGGAAGTCTTACAAGAACTTCGAATACATTGTGTGCATTCAGGAACATGACGCTTGGATGTGGCGTTGCTTGTTCTCGCCTTGGATGGCAGTGCGTGCAGCAGCTGCTAAAATCATAGTTGCCGTAGCTGCACAACCGGTAGGACATCCTTTGTACTGCATCAATGGTTATCTTACTTTCTTCAGGGTCACTTGGGCGCTGCTGTGTCAGTGATTTTACGAGGCCTCCCTCTTGCATCAGTCGCACCTGCGGCAATGACGGATCATTTCTTCCGTGCTGCGCATATCATAATGAGCGGTGGTCCGGGCATCAAAGCTCGGCTCTACTCGGAGGGGCTTCATGTCTGGTTGATAAAAGTCATCTTCAAGGTGACTATCTTTCGATATTCTATGTGGATGTTCGAAAATGCTCTTGTTGGTTACAGGAATGCAAAAGGATGCATGAAGAGGAACAGCAAGAAACAAGCATGGATCATTCCTTCGGAACCCTTCTACGTAGCTATGTCGGTATGTGCTCTTCTCCCGCGTCTGTTCCGCCTTCTCTTTCCACCCATCAGACTGATTATTGCAGAACTGCTTTGTTTGCTGCTGACAGGAAGTGGCATAGAATCTCTGAAGTTGAAGGCAGCTAGAGATCACATCTTGGTACCACTGCTGCAGTCCACAATCTTCCTTAAAAGGCTTGTAAATACATCCCAAACAGCATTGCGAATGATCCAGAAAGTTTCAGAGTACTGCTAAGACGTACAAGAGCTGTCGAGGCTTCCCGCAGTTCTCTTGAAAGACTTCTACGTCGTGTTTCTGCCAAGGATCCTCTAATGCTAATGAGAGCTGCAGTTCAGTCACTAGATGCCATCGAGGATTTGAATACTAAGGTAGTTTTGGATTGTTCACATATGTTGACACACTTCCTAGAGAAAGATTTACAGGCACATATCGTCTCTGTCATACTAGACGTTTTAAATCCGGAACAAAAAGAGGAAGAAGATTTCCACATCCAAATTGAGAAGGATCCAGCTCAGGAAGATTTTCTACAAGGCAGGATGACTGGTAATCCATACAAGGTGAGTCGTAGCATCGCTAGCACTGATCGAATGTCCGTGAGCATGTTTTAGTCAACCGATGCTGGTCTGGGACCTCTAATGCGCGACATTAAAAACAAGATCTGTAGAGATACCGAAATGATAGCACTGATGGAGGATGACAATGGCATGGAGGTCATTTAATGAGTTTTTTCCAAGTTGCAGCTTCTTCTCAGGGTTAGAAAAACTTTCTCATATTTAGCTACTGGTGAACAACCAGATAATCTCACTGGCACTTCCTGTGAGGGCAGTCTACGATAAACTCTGGAAGAAAACCAATCCGGGGCAACCTATGGTAATCGTCTATAGAATGCGCGGTCTGCTCGGTGACGCTGTGGAAACTTTTGTTTCTACTCTTGGAGAAGCTGAAGGAGGTAGAGGAAGTTTATCCTAACCAAGATGCATCCAATCCGCAGGTTTTTGCATGAACTTCTGTTGAAACGCGTATTTGTTCCACTTTGAGTCGGTTCTATCTCTCTTTGACTGGCTACTTTCGTGTCTCAGTATCCTTTTTGTAGGTGAAGCTGAAGAAGATGAGGCATTGTCTTCTCTTACCGGTGCCCTTTCTCAGTGTGGTGGTTTGAGCCGAGCTCTCAGCCTGCTCAGTCTTGCTGATATAGGCACTGCTGGCAGGTATCGTCACCACACCAGCTTTGTCCCTCATGTTGATTTACATGATTCTTTAGATTCCTTTTGAGTCAGTTACGAAAGCTTTTTGAACGTTGCGTCAGAACCGAACAAGGTCGTATCGACTTGGTGTCGTCTGGTGCAATTAATGCATTTATGAAGGTAGTCCCTGATTTACACCTTTTGCATCTAGATGTTGCCTGTCTAGGTGCTCCACTCCTGCGTATCCTTGCGATCCAGTGATGAAGAAACGCTTCAGCTTGGACTTGAATATCTTGAGATGATTTCCGCACTTGTAAATGATCCAGCCGTACACCCGGTAAGCCGTTCTCTCTTTTTTCTATAGTATCTTCTACTAAATTCTTCATTAAGATTCTAACCGGAATTTCCAAAGAAGACACCGAATGGTTGCTTTCATTCGTAATGGCACGACCCGACTCTGGTAAATACTCTTCCTTTGTCTCGTATAGCAACTCTTTAGTTCTATACATGCCAGGTACCGAAAGCGTCAACAAGTTCTGTAACCAAGTCGCTCGTGTCATTGGAAACCTCGTCCTTGGCAATGAAGAGGCCGAAAAGGCGCTCATCTCCATGTATGCAAAGACGTGCCAATGGAAGGAGATCGATGAGACCAAGTGAGTCAATATGTTTTTTTAGTTGGCTACCACAAATCAAGTGAGTATCTGGTACCTCACTCTGTCTCTATTTAGTGACGTTTCCTTGCGTAACGAACGAGTAGTAGCTGTTGAAAGGTTGTGTGAGGTCACTGCTGGAATTTTGAATTCAAAAGAAGCAGCTAAACTTAAGCAGCTCATATTGGATAGCGGAGTCATGGCGAAGGTATAAACATTAGCATAATTGTCTCCAATAATGCTGAATTTTGCTGTCGTTTTTTGTAACCTCGATGTCTACGGTGGCATATTTCTCCTCAATTTAGGCTTGTATGCATCTGGTTTCTAACCACCCACCGTTGTACTCTGCAACGGAATCGCAGGAATGGAAAGCATTCTTGCTCCGCCCATCGCTGAAGCTGGTTGGTTTTTAAGAGTGGAAATGTAAAAGTTACTCAGTTTCAATTTTATAGATGCTATCGTTCATGCATGGTATGGCTCGTTCACATGAGGCAAGTCAACGCGCTCTCGCAGAAAAGACATTGCACATATTACATCGCCTAGAACAGGTAAGTAAGGAATCTGTAACATTGTAACATCATTTTGCATGATTTTTAAGGTAGCGTCGGATAACTCGATAGGCACCCTTGCGGAGAACGTTGTGGAAGCGTTAAAGGAGAATACAGAGGTACTGCTTCATGCTATGTTGCGAGATTGACAGCGAAGAGTTCTTCTCAGGTTGCTGCACAGATTGAAAATGTCAGACAAGAAACTAGGCAAAAGAAGCGTCAAATGGCTATGGCCATGCGTAACAAGCAGTTGCGCGAAATGGGCATGCAGATGGGCAAATCTGGTGAAGTGAAGGTAGGTTTTGATAAAAAAAAACTACTACTTTTATTGCTTAATTCTATGAATCTAAAATGGTTCTCATAGTATTTGGCTGACTGAAACTTTCCCGTCCAATCGTTTACATAATCGCAATTTCAGGTGGCGCATAGACGCATCGCGAATGAACCCGTCTTAGAAGATGTACTCGATCCACTTGCGTCGTGTTGCATCTGTCGCGAACCTCTATTCCAGGGAACACGGGTGGCAGCTGCGTGAGTTTATCCCTTCTCGTCTTATGCTACTGCACCTAGGTGTATACCGATGCTTTTAGCTATGCATTTGCTTCTCCGATACCTGGCGAGTCCCGTGTTCCACAGCTTGCGACCGTAAGTCAAATGGTTATGGTACATATTGACTGCCATCAAAATGCCATTCGACGAAGCGGAGGAGGTCGAAATGTGGATGAATGGACTAAGGTGAGATTACTCAGCATTTATGGTTTCGATTTTGTTCTGGTTTGTAAAATGCAGATTTTTCAAGACAAAAACATTGAGAATCTATTTTCGTCACTTTTAGGCCTCGTTGCACAATGCAGGTGCCAAATGCAACGTATTAACGCCTATTGCCAGCGGAACAGCCAGCGAAGCTGATTGGACCGCAGCTGTGAATAGGTACAATTCTTTCTCTGCCAGCCTCTTCTGAAAATCGCTTCCATTTTTAGATACCAAACTGATCTCGAAGTTGCTGCTGCAGTCCCGCCTCTATGTCGAGCCATAGTCTTCGTTGACATCTGTGAACTGATCGACAAATTTGTGTTTTTCAGGTTAGTCGGTAGTCTGTGATGATGTACTGTATACGAAGGCATTTTATAGGTCCTTTTCTGAAGCTTCACAAGGAGGGGGCAGGGAATCGAATGCTCAATATCTCGCCGTTCTCCATCTGCTCGCTCTGTCCTTGCCTGCGGACGATTTACCCACCATCAACGCTCGACATCGGGTGGTTTCCTTCCTTATGACCGAACTCACTCTCGAAAGTTGGCGTGAGCAGCGAATTGATGTGCGTAAACGATGGAAGCATCTCAGCGGCAAAACGTAACGCTTTCTAGGTTCTACGCGCGGCGCTCTCTGATTGTGCTACTGAGGGCCATGACAGCTCGTGGGGGACCCTGCGTCCAATTTGTTTGACTTGGGCGTTTGTAGATCTGTACTTTAGTGATGTAATACCGGTGAGGAGTAGTCGTAGGGTGCCTCGCCTCCAATGTGCTCAACTTTTCAAATTTTTTTTAGATCGATTCCGATGACCGTGTAGAATGGCTTCAGTCGCATTTACTAGATACGATACGCAAAACTTCGACTTTCGTCAAGAAATTTGATGAAGAAGTGGCACCCTTACGCACTCTAGAAGCATTTTGCGAAAAAATGGGTGAGTTGAAGTAATTTTCGAACCAGGTTGCTATGAGTATGGCAAATGGACGCTTGACAAAGTGCACTGCAATAGTTATAAGCTGTTGAATGGCAGTGGCACGGCTCCAACTGCTCGCGCATTCGTGGCCGCCTCGCACCCTGCGTCGCAAACGCGGACTTTGTCCTTTGGGCATTTTTCCCAGCTCGTTGCTCAGGAGTGACAAGCGCTAGTGAGGCGGCTGCGAAGGCCCAACGCTCTCTCACTGTCAGTGAGACAACCTATACAACATTACGCAAGACTGTCGCTTGTCAAGCCGAAAATACTTGCGCGTAAACCATAGAGCGCATAACTGCAATTCGTGACCTATGGCTGTTGTTTAGTGCAAGCATTTTGGCAATTCGTGTTGACTGGTTTTTATCTTCCTCGTAATTCTTTTCAGTTCATTGGCACTCAAGTCTAATTTTAGATCTTCCCCTCGATCAAATCACCCCGCTTATCGGCAGTGGCAATGATGCTGACGTCTAGCTGATGTGGTCCGCCCACTTTTGCTTGATAGCTTCTCATGTGTGCATGAACATTGTAGTCCTTGCTGTTTCTAGCGTGTGCATAATAAACTTTGCCGTCCGAAGCTTTCCCACCCTCTTTCGGAAATATGAAAAATATGAAGATATAGGTTGTAAAAACCCATTTAGTGTATAATTAACAGTAAAAGCTCAAACAGGATCCAATTTCTATATATATACAAACTGTACACCAAACTTGTTTGTGACAAATAAAATCTTAATCTCGCTTCTGCAAATACACTTCGATATTCTTTAGTAAGAACTCCATTGATGAGATCTGTGGAGGAATCAGTAGCAGATCCATGTGAACTGGCTATAAAATCACTCTACTGTGTACAATAACTAGACCTTATTAGTGTCTTTTGCTTCACTATGATAACATTAATCTTCAAAAGTGTTGCCCGCCTTTTTGCGGACAAGATTCTGAAATCACTTGCCTGATCATCGCACATTCTAATTGGCTTTGGTTCATTCGTGGAGTTCAGGTACCGATTCGGTTTGAACGTGGAAATGTCCTGTACAGATTGTTTTGGCGACAAAGAGCACCGTTAGAATAATGAAAAATGCCTACGTAACGTAAAGGAACAGCATTTCTTTTCAGAATCAGTGCTCGCTGAGGTGTAGATTCAAACTGGTCGGCGGCAAAGTGATCGTAGCATATGAACCTTGAAATTTGTTTTCGTGGCTATAGCATTTCATATTATCCATCTCATAATTTCGAAAAGATGATTCCACCAGTTGGAGGGGTGGGTGGGGAGGTGGGGAGGAAGGCGAGGGCGAGGGAGTTGGAAAGGTTTACTTAAAACTTCATCATTGGGATATATTGAGTTGTGTGAATAAGCACATTCGCATTTCCTTTTAATTTTTTCTTAATATATTTGAATAGTATTTGGCAAAAGTATGCTTTTGATAGCTAACGATAAGACCTACAGGTTAACTTGCGTCATTTTCCAATTTTTCAGGGAACCCAAATAGTTTCTTGGTTTTCAAACGAAAAATCCGAAGGAGCGAAGAAACCATCTTCGACATCTTTTTTCCTTCAGTTTTCCCGTTTTCGGCAGTTGAGATCTAACCAAAATAATTACTCATATATTAGGTTGTCTCATAAGTCTTTTCATTTTTGAGTTTTCCCTATAATAAGTCACACACTTCTTATTCAAAATAGACATCAGGATAACATTCGATAAAGCAAAAGCTCTATAAGATAGCGTTTATGCTTTTGCACAAGCTTTGGTCCATCTCGAGTTCTAAACCAAATTCTAAAAAGTTTCGGATGCTCAGAGAACCGAAAAATTTTTATATCTTCGTTTAAAGAAAACCTACAGATCTCTAACTCGCTCACGCATATACACTTCACATCAGACACTCATATGTGCCGTTGCCGTATTTTTTCATGGCTAGAAATCAAGAAAACGAAAAATTTCATGTTTTTACCAAAGTGATGCTGTGCTGTCTTACACCAATAATTGTATACTACAAGCCGTTAGAAGTATATCCGTAAATTTTTAGCTCTTTATGGCCCTAGTTACCGAGAAATATCGAATTTAGCTTTCTTCATTCGGGCTTTTTACGCGTAACCTAGCATTTCTCGATAACTAGAGCTCATAGAGAGCTAAAAATTTACGGTTGTACTTCTAAAGGCTTATAGCATACAAATTTTAGTGTAAGAACAGCACAGCATCACTTTGGTAAAAACATGGAAATTTTCGGTTTTTTGATTTTTAGCTGATAAACAAATACAGCAACAACACATATGAATGTCTGATGTCGATTGTATATGCGTGAGCGAGTTAGAGGTCTCTGTAGGAATTTTTTGAACGAAGATATAAAAAATTTTCTGTTTTCTGGGCATCGAAACTTTTTAGATTTTGGTTTAAAACTCGAGATGGATCAAAGCTTGGAAAAAAGCACAAGCGCATAAACGTCATCTTGTAAAGCTTGTTTTGCTTTATCGAATGTTGTCCTGATGTCTATTTAGAATAAGAAGTGTGTGACTTATTATAGCGAAAACTCAAAAATGAAAAGACTTATGGGACAACCTAATAGTTAATGCTACTGTCTATGCTTATACCCCATGCTCTCAAAAATGATTAGTGCGGTTTTACTAGAAGCCTGTGAGGCGAAACTGATGCGACGACGTTCGTCGTCTAGCGTAGCAAGTTGTGTGATTCATGCACAGAATCGAGTGAGTAAACCATACGATAACCATTTGTAACCAAAATCATTCTGTTTGCCATTTGCTGGATTATGTGTCTACGGTTCTTTCTCAGGATTGCCTTCAGATGCCACGTTGACATTGAAAAACGTCAGGAAGGGATCTCTTTACTAAAATAGCTTCCGAAATTGTTCAGCACTTCTGTGCATTGCACGGATTTTTAGAGTTACTTTCTAAGCCTAATCCATTTAAAAGCTGACATGTAGTTATCAGAACTGATCTTCACCTTTTTTTCCAACTTGAAAACTTCGAAATCTCTCCAAAACCTCAATTTTGAGAAAAAGAAGCGAAGAATTTGATGCAGCGGGATTAGAGCCTTGCAGACGCACGTGCAATTTTTATGAGCATCAAACCGAGTATGGGATATCTCCCCAAAATGCGAACGAACTTCATGACCGCGCACGAATTCTTAGCGCGAAAATGCTCATGGCAAGTGGGTTCAGGATGAATTCGTCTCGCTATGAGTATTCGCGGATTAGTTGAGGGAAATTATGTGCGGTGGGGGGGGGGGACTATTTCGCACCCACAATCATCTGTGTCGTAGTCTACAGATTTTCACGCATTCCAGAAAACCCGCACTGGAGTGTCGCGCACGATAGCGCTGCTGCTGGGAAATGCTGTGACACCATCAAAGTCCAGACAATCTATAGCCTCATTATCAAAGTAAAGAAATGAGGCGCAAATCTGATCGATTAATCTCAAAAATCCTGCAGTATGTAACGGACCACGTGGACGTGCATCGTTTTGGCGCTACTGTCCTCCTCTATGCAATGCGCGCCCAATCTGACGTTAGCATGTGCCATAGGGTAAAAATAATCGAAAAATAAAGTATAAGTAAGTATTCAGGAAAGTAAGTCACTTCCGTCCAGAGCTTCCCAGTCTTTGCCTTAGGTGTTCCATCAGCACAGCGTCATTGTCGTATAAGAGTTTCATCCATTCTTCCCTGAAATAGTTGATTATCGTTTCTGTAACTTTTTGGAAGGTCTCCTGTCCTTGCAGCTAGCCTTTTGCAGTGGGCAGTTTGGGAAGTTTTGGGATTCCGGTAGTTTATGGGCCATTGATTCAATGCACGTGTGTGACTGCATTGCTTTGCTTTTAAAGGCTAGATAAAGGCTGCTGTAGCAACCTGGCAGAAATCCGTCTCTTTTCAAACACCGACACACTGAGATCACGAAGCTGGGGCAAGATAGTGGGGATCCCCTTTCTTATAAAATCAACTAGGGTTTGCCCACATCTTCAAATGGACCTGAGTCAAAAAAAAGTGTTTCTAAGGATATTCAAAAGATTTTACTGCGCATCTAGTTTTTGCCTCTGGTACCGCGTTCATGATCAACTCGGACAAAAACTCGCTTTCATTCACGGTTTTTCTATATTGCTTAGTCTTACCTTTTTGCAACATTTTCGGTGAACGTCTGCATGTATTGCTGATGCTTCCTCCTGCCACAAACAGCGCATAGTCGCAACCTCGAGCGACGAATTTTCTGAAATTCAAGTTGAACAAAAAGAACGTTTTTAACACATACTGGCATCTATAAAAATTTTAATAATGTACAAAATGACAGTTTCGTTTCCCGTTACTTGATACTTCATCTGCAAGAATTTAATTCGCCCTGGAGCGCAATCAGTTCCTCCCATGTTGTCAGCAATCTTCAAAAGAAAGAGATACATTTACCCCTACAGCCGGAGCCCATCAGCGATGTCGTCCCCTACGTAGAAATAGCTGCTGCGAAACTCATGCAAGCATAGCGCCAGTCATATCAACGCTATTTATTACAAGTAGGATTTGGGAACCTCGTATCAAGAAAAACAAGTAAGGCTCTTCTTTTGCTTCTTACGATATAGTCATATGATATTCCTTCCCTAGAGTGAGGTGAAAAAACTGGGTTTTGTGTGATTTTGTGCACCACCAGATTAGCACGAAGCAGCTCAAACGGAATGAATAAAGTTGTCAAAAGACAGCCTGATGGTGTGTAACTACAATGATTTCGAGTTAACTATAGGGAAGACGCTACAAACATCACTAAAAATCGATGTTTCTGAGATGTTTTCTGTGAAACATGGTTACAGAGTACTTGACGAAAGCGCACTTTCAACCGTTTACAACTCCTTTCAGCTAATCCTCAGACAATCTAATCCTAATCCTCGGTGCCGTAGTCGCGCCGGACAGTCGAAATCTGGCAGAGCCGCGGCGGACCCAATTGACCAATGAGAGCGGGGCGAGGGGGCGGTCCCTTCACGGTGACGTCACCGGCAGGCGAGTGGGACCCTTCTCCGGATCTGCTCCGGAGGTACGCCATCTCTGCTCCGGAGGTACGCCAGATTTGGGAGAGCAGCGGCGGAGAGATTTGCCCGCCGCGAGTGCGCCAGTGGGACACTTCCGGAGCAGAAAATGGCAGGGCTCCAGAGCACAAATGGGAGGTCTGCGGAGCACAAAATGGCAGGGCTCCGGAGCACAAATGGGAGGTCTCCGGAGCATAAATGGGAGGGCTCCGGAGCACGAGTGGCAATCCCCAGCTGGGGAAACCCCGCGGCTCGGCCATTTCTGCTCCGGAGGTATGCCGTCGACTGTCTGAGTCGCCTAAAAGATAATAAACGGCGTTTTAAGGCTAGTACTATGATATACAAGGCTCCCCAATCAGCTTCCGTATAAGGGATTTAGGTTTTCCGTGGTGGCTACATACCTTTGGATCCAGAAGGCGAATGGATTAGGTTAGCCGAGAATGTTGAGAGTCATCGATGTCAAGGGGCCATTAAAAGGGCTCTGCTCTGTCTTTTTGGAACATCTTGTTTTCTTGTTTTGAAAATCGTCTAACTTATGAAAGGTGATATAAATATATAACACTTTCATGTGAGGGTTTACAAGAGTCTCCTTGCTGGATGTAGTTGACTGCAGCCATAAAATCAAGCCTATCTAAACTTGCCAGTAAAGGAACCGAACCATTATCAAGGTTATAAGCTGCTGGTACGAATTGATTCAGTTACATTGTTCGTGCAATCTTCTTTTGCTTTCTAGCTAGCCTCAACCTTTTTATCCAACCATTGACTGATTCCAGTTATAGTTGACAGCGGCAATTCTCAGATTTGTAGCGGCTTGAAGTAGCAGCGGACCCACCTGGCTTTCACCAACTTGGGTCGATGGTTGCATGAGGTAAGAATGAGTCGGCCCCAACGGAAGTTTCAACGTGGCATTCGCTGCTGATCATGGATCCATGCAGATGTGATATCGCGTTTTCTCTTGATCCGGTTCCTTGCAGACCCGTAGGGCGGTGGTCCATAGTCAGAATGGTGCACCTCGCTCTTGATTGCATGAGCCAACGCAGTAAAGTTGAAAAAACATTAGAAAATTGCACTGTCTATAAACGAGAAGTGCATTCAAACAGAAAAAATGGGTTCATAATGTCTCTTCCTCAATTACTGCAACACCCAAATCAGCGAGCGTCGACTAGATTTGTCAACTCATTCATCTTATACCCTCCTTCTCCTCTCTCAAAAGGAAAGTTCCAGATCGCACTGTTCTTTTGATATAAGATGAGTATAGCCAAGCTCAGCTTGAAAGGCCGATTCTAAAACTGCCCTCTTTAGCAGCAGAACAAAGCTAAGTGGCGAGTTGTTGACTCTAATCTACGGGAAATTTACAACTCCGAAAATAGGCAAAATTATGGAGCTTATGTATTCTGGGCTGTATTCTGGGCTTAAAGTTATTTGCCTAATTTAGTCGTCTCTTTACCCAGAGGATTCGTTCCGTATCTATCAAAGGTATTATTGGAAACACTGTTCAAGCTGCGTTGGCTTTTGCATATCTCCATTCAAATCTGCGATTTCTTGTACTTCTCTTATCAGTCCAAGAATGGTAGCCATTTTTCGTCCACTTAATCCTCTCCGCGACTGAAGTTTGTGATGTTCGCTTGCCAATCGCTGGAAAGGATTACGGTAGTTTAACTTGAAGGCAGCGTCCGGGCAAAATTTCGACTTCTAATTTTGTCTTATCCAGGCGCTGATTCCAAATATGGCATCCAAAATATGTAGATTTCCCGAAAATCCCCTTTTTGAGAGGATTTTGTAAGAACCGTGGACGACTGCTCCTAATGTTATCTTTGACGAAACAAGCACTAACAGGAGACACTCTGTGTTTGATTGTGTTTGCCACGTGAAAATACGTTAAGGGCTGAAGAGAGCTCGTTCCAGGAGGCGGGCCGTGCGGGGGAGTGGGCGTGATCCTCCTCGAGGCTCGTCCTTTTTTTGCGCCGATTTTCTCCCTTTGTAACGGGTTTTTGAAATCGAATTTGCGCGGTAGTTCAAGACCGAGGCCTTAGAACTCGATTATGATAGTATCCGAGAGTCTCGAAATCTGCCCGAACGCTGCCTTTAACTCGACGCTTCATAACAGATACAAATTGATTGTTACAATATACTTGTCAACTTTAGTATCGACATCCATAAACCAAAATTCTCTATTGAAAATCACCAAAAAATGCAAAGAAGTTGTCATCAATTTTCGATCCCACCTGATATTAAGGCAGCGTTGCTGCAGTGTTCCTGTACCAAATAATATTAAAATGGTCAAAATGTGAAAAAAACGTTCACAGATAAGGATTTCTGTATTTTTCAGCACTATATTTCCCATCTCCAATGATCATTTTGACTAAAAACATGTTCCTTGTTAGTGCTTTAAAGAATAATCAAATGCTTGTGTCAATGCGCTACTGATGGTTAACAAGATCCATATGTTCAACCTATACGTATTAGATCTTCAGTTGTGTAGCCGATACTGGAGACGAAGAGTGCTATACAACTCTAGCGTTTGCCAAGAGGATATGACCTCAAAAAGAAAAATGTAATGTAAAATGTAAAAATTGAAAAAATCGGCTGTTCGCTATAATCGGCTAGCAAGAAAACTTTGATAAGCGTGGGATCAAGTTGACAACGGCTCTATCACAATTCGGCGCTTTGTAGCTAGAAGTTCAGCCTTTATTAAAACATTGCTGGAATAATGGACTCTTGGTCCTTTCAAAGTTTCACAGGGATTGCTGAGTTGGACTTCCAAACTGCAGAGGCGGCAAATCCAAGTAGAGGTGGTAGTCAAATTGAATTAATGCCAATTAATGCATTTCTGTCAAGCATTTTAAGATGTTAGACGTCTGTTGGTAAGGCTTTTTGTAAAGGTATACCTTACATATATGTATGAGCCAATACCAGGGCCCGACCAGAGGTGCGATAGGTGGAGCCGGGCCCCCCAAAAGTGAAGGTGGTTCCAGCTATCACTGACCGGCCAAAAGTGAAGGTGGTAGTGCCGGACACTCACCTCCCAAAAACGTCGACGGGGGGGGGGGGGGGGTAACGTCGACTGAGCCTATCCTTCCAGGTCGTTGCCGCCAGTGCGCGGAATATAAGCAAAACAAACGCAAAAAAGATCATTGAAGGCATATTTTTAGGAACACGGCGGCATATTTATTTAAAATAAACGTGTTTAGTAAATGGCGTATTTGGAAGTAAAAGATAGCGGCACTGTACGGATTTTATTAAGTAAATTTTGTCATAACGTACTACAAACAAAGTAGGTCGATCCAGGGAATAACCGCCGAGAACCAGAATTTTGAATAATAAAATAACGATAAATTATGCGAAATTTCCATTTTCATAAATCTTGCGGTTGAAGATGTCAGCAAATGCGACTTCATATGTTTTGAAGGGCAGGTGTTGTTCTATCAGATAGTGAAAAATTAGGTCGATTTGAGCAGTGGCCGCCGAGAACGAGAATTTTGAAAAATTAAGCGATTTTAGGTTACTTAGTGACAGCTGACGTTTAGACTCCTATAAATCTGGAATGTGAAGGAGTGCAATGTTGCGACTTCATAGGTTTTGTAGAGTAAGGATTGCTGTATCGGACCATGTCTTAGCCGTAACGATCCAATAAGATACCGCCGAGATTCAGGCTCTTGAAAAAACAAGTGAAAAACCGCTTTTTGAAATTCAACAGCGCATAACTTCTCCAGAATTGCATGAATCATGTTGCGACTTCATAGGTTGGATTCTCCTAATCAAGAGCTTTCAGATGATATATAATATGTGGGGGGTTCAATGATTTTTGCGGCTCTAACCCAGGGTGGAGACTTTTCACCCCAAAGTCTCCACCTCGCCCATTTAATGTACTGGCCGGAGACCGCCAGTGGAGACTTTGGGGTGAAAAGTCTCCACCCCCGGGCATATGCTGTGAGAGGCGCAAAACCCCCACATATTATATATCATCTGAAAGCTCTTGATGAGGAGAATCCAATCTATGAAGTCGCAACATGATTCATGCAATTCTGGAGAAGTTATGCGCTGTTGAATATCAAAAAGCGGTTTTTCACTTGTTTTTTCAAGAGCCTGAATCTCGGCGGTATCTTATTGGATCGTTACGGCTAAGACATGGTCCGATACAGCAATCCTTACTCTACAAAACCTATGAAGTCGCAACATTGCACTCCTTCACATTCCAGATTTATAGGAGTCTAAACGTCAGCTGTCACTAAGTAACCTAAAATCGCTTAATTTTTCAAAATTCTCGTTCTCGGCGGCCACTGCTCAAATCGACCTAATTTTTCACTATCTGATAGAACAACACCTGCCCTTCAAAACCTATGAAGTCGCATTTGCTGACATCTTCAACCAGCAGATTTATAACAATGGAATCATCGCATGATTTTTCATTATTTTATCATTCGAAATTCTGGTTCTCGGCGGTTATTTCCTGGAACGACTTACTACATAGATATATGCTCCCAATACTTTCTTTTACCTTCCTTTTGCTTATTTTCCTTCTTTTGAGCTTGAACAAAAAATTTTTTTCAAACCCAAAAGTGAAGGTGGTCACCCCGCACCAGCTCAAAAGTGAAGGTAGGCGGAGACTCGGCTCCGACTATCGCACCTCTGGGCCCGACACAAGTCGGTTTCTAGGGTTTATCAAATGAGGTCTCTGTAATATTTAAAACGATTTTGGGCTATCGCGAGGACTTTGTCCAGTAACGTATGATTATTATGACTCTCTCTAGTCTTTCCCTTCTCTACAGAACATGAATGATTACTAAAGTTTATCCATATGGCATCAAGTTACAGAAATCGAGTATATATAGGTAAATAGACGGATTGGTATAGTCGTCCTCCCCCCACTAGACACCCAGTGGACGAATTTGAATTTGAACTAGAGCACGCCGGTCGCGGCAGAGCGCGGCACCGTCAAATTCGTTTCAAGTTCTTGCAGTGTTCTTTTGTATTTCTCGTCGCTGCATGGTAATTCATTTATCTCAATGGCGTTTGTATAGTTGTCCTCCCCCCACTAGACACCTAGTGGACAAATTCAAATTCGAACTAGAGCACGCCGGTGCGGCAAAGCGCGGCACCTGCAGCTCCCACTTCAATCTCATACAAATTTTTTTGTGTTTTCGCGACGTTTCAACCTAATTTTTTAATGCTGACAGTTTTTTCACTTCGTATTGAAATTGTCGCTTTTATTTGAGCGGTGGATCGTGCTGTATGCTCGTTTCTTTGACTACGATTCCAAGTTAAGCTTGAAAAAACGACTAAGTTTAAAAGCTGGTGAAATTTCTCTCGGTATCACCTGTATCACCTGTATCCCCGTTGATCATCGTGTTGCACGAGCGGGTACCAGTGATGCCTCCATTCGTCCCTGTCTCGGGCGATTGTTGACCAATGTTTACGTATCGCACCAGGAACACGTGGAACGCTCTGAAGGACTTCATTAAAGGACTTCGTGAACATATCTGACCATCGCGTCGGCGGTCTTCCTCGTTCGCGTTTGACGTCCAGTGGTATCCAACCTGTTACAGCTCTCGTCCACCGGTTGTCGTCGAAACGCATTACGTGCCCGGCCCATCTTATCTTGTTCTGCTTGGCGTACGCGGCAGCGTCCCTGATCTTCGATCGTTGACGTAGGGTAGAACTTCGTAATCCTTGCCTCACTTGCGTGAGTCGATTCACTCCTAGCATCACTCTCTCAACAGCTCGTTCGATGACGCTAACCGCGTGCTCATCCTGCTTTCTCATTGTCTATGTTTCTGAAGCGTACGTCAAAGCAGGAAGAACCGTCGAGTTGAAAAGGTGGGCGCGGAGCCGGATGTATTTGGTCTTCTTCACTACGTCCTCAATTGTCTTATATGC